GGAAGAACTTCTTCCCTCTGAGGGTGACGGAGCCCTGGCCCAGGCTGCCCAGGGAGGCTGTGGAGTCTCCTTCTCTGGAGAGATTCCAGCCCCGCCTGGCCGTGGTGCTGTGCAGCCTGCTGTGGGTGACCCTGCTTGGGCAGGGGCTTGGGCTGGGTGACCCACAGAGGGCCCTGCCAACCCCTGCCATTCTGTGACTCTGTGACTCTGTGAAAGAATAAGTTGTATAAGCACTCGGAGGGTCACAAAGAAGCTGTAAGACGTGTCCCCAGAGGAGACACTGAACTGTGTCACCAGCATTGACTGGAGCCAGCGAATTTCGGAACCATGCTACGTTACTGATGTCTTAGAACAATGAATCTTTTGATTCACGTAGGTGAGAAGGAGCCGGTTACGATAACTGCCAAAGTGGGGACCTTCAAAAGAAAGCAGCAGATGAGAGATTTCCTGGACCATTTGCCAAAGGACAACCATGATGATATTTTCACCGCGACGCCCTTCCAGAGCAGAAGAGTCAAGGTAAATCTGGGTGACGGCGTGTACATGCGTGTGCTCTGCGGGTTGGTATTTCAAGGGTGTCTTACAAGGCTGCTGCTTCGGTTCCGCCAATGAAAACCTCGTGGATTTGGGGTACAGGCTCATTTCCCTGATTTGTTCCTGCAGTGCTGTGACTGCCGGCGTGGGAGCGTGTGGAGCGTGGCTCCCGCAGACGAGGGTCACGGCTGACGGGGCGTGTGAAGCCGGTCTGTGGTCGGGGGGTTTTCACTCCTCCCCGCCGCCGTGCGGGAGGACCTCCGGGCGCTGGGAAGCGATACCCTGTCCTGGGGAGCACAGGGTCCTCGTGCTGGGGATCCGGGTGCTTCCTGAAGCCACGCTGATGCTTCCCAGGGTTTTTTGTCTCTCTCTCCTCTCGGCGCATCTCGCACATACCACCATACGTCTCCAGCAGCCGCAGCGCACACCCCCCCATCCGCCCCCACCAGCCGCAGCGGGAGGAGAGCCCCCGAGCACGCCCCGCAGACGCAGCGCCGGCGCGGGAGAGCGCTGCCCTGTCTCTGGGACAAAGCCCCACAGAGCTGGGGTGAAGCACAGTTAGGCACTCTAGGTGTTAGGGAAGACTCCTCACTGCTAAAGAGGAAGCCACTCACTGATCAAGAGAATTATTTATTTTTTTTCCCTGTAGAGAATTTTTGAAGTATATTTTGCGATGCATCTTTTTTTGCTGTTGTCTGACCAAAGCAGCTCCGTGCACCCGTGGGTATTCTCGTAGCGGCGCTGCCTTTGCTATGCTGGCATCCAGAAGCAGAGCAACGCGGTGGCTCGTGGAGAGCCGGTATCTCACCAGTGGTAACTTCACTGCTCTCTGCAAACTGCGGTGCGCGGCGGAGAAATCCCTGATTAGTACGAGCGGACTGGCTGTGAAGGAGGCGATGGCGCCCTCCCCCCGACCC